CTATCATGCTTACAAGGGAGGTTTGAAGAATACAGTCTCTAGGTGGGAGATTGTAAAATGTTAGAGACAATTTCTTAATTTATTTTTGGAAACACGTTTCTTAATTTATTTTAGGAAACGCATCCTAGTTGCCTTGGGGTTAGGATTTACTTCTCTATAAATACAAGCTCTCTCCCTTGTAATCATTGTGTGTAGATCCGAAAATAGCAATAATATTCCTGGCTTGGTAGCGCCCCAGACGTAGTCATTCGTGGCGAACTGGGTTACCAAATATTGTGTGTTCTTTAATTGTAATTCCTAACAGAAGCTCAGGCAGAAAATTATCTTAAAGATGATCGATGACCCAATTGCGAATCTTAGCCTAATTGCTTATCCTAGCCCAATTAAAGTTTAATAGAAACATTTTCTAAAAACTAAAGCCCTAGAGGTCTCGGTCATAACATCTAAGATATAGATAGTATACTTCTACGGAAGGGCTTGTGTTGTTGTTCGGTCTCTCCATCTAAGTCTTCTTTTCTTCCAACGGTGCCTTGGATCACTTTCTCAAAATTGGCAAGTATGCAATCTCCTTGTTTAAGTTTATCTTTTGAATTTTTGGTACTTCAGGAGTTAGGATGTTTTCTTTTGGACTGTTTTCAGTCCCAGACCAGACCAGACCAGACCAGACTTAAACAGACCAGACTAGACCAGACCAGACCAGACTTAAACAGACCAGACCAGACCAGACCAGACTTCCGTAGTTATAAAATACAAAGAGACCAGACGTTTACCAGACCAGACCAGACCAGTTCAGACCAGACCAGACCAGACATAAACAGACCAGACCAGACCAGACCAGACTTAAACAGACCAGATCAGACCAACAAATTTCAGTCCTAAAGAAAATATCCTTAATCGAAGGAGCAGGTCTCCATTAGTGGGATTTTATTCCATAATAGAATTTAAATGTATCTTTGTTGCTCCCTGTCAATCCAAATCTATATTTCCTCACAAATTTGAGTATTACGAATCCTGCTATTAAATTTGAGCTTTGGAAAGTATGGATAGGGACAAACTAGTATTGTTGCGGCTGCTTTGTTAAATTCTGGCGGCTGGTTCATACTTTCAATATCTACGTTTTTCTCAGAGAGTTGTTCAACGTTCTATCTAAAAATAAAGGTGTAGACATATGTATTAAATTAGTCTTTGAGGGTCATATTGGAGTACGGTCTAAATTTAAATTCAGCTCCTTCAAAATATTTAACTTTGTCCTCTAAATCACTCTTTGTGATATCTTTATCATATATGAGAACATATATTTTTATCTTCTAAACTAAGCTTTGTTCCATCAAATGTATTTCATCTTTCGAGTAGCTGACTAGTGGTACAGAAGTATATTCTAATTTGTTAGTTGTTTTCCTTAAGTTAGAAAGTTGTTTTACTATTATATTACTAAAAGTCTAGGACCTTATATTATAAATATTTGATCAAAATAAGTTATTACAATTGAGTCTAAGGTTAAGGAATTCTATGCACCCAGAGTCGTAAGAAGCCATTTAAGAATTTTAGTAGAGCAATATTAATTACATTTAAAGAATTGCTAAATAACAGTAAGTTCTAACTCTACTATATATTTACTTAAAGAGTTATAAATGAAGAGCTTATCGGAAGATGTTATTAAGGTGCCGCACTTAATTGAGTAATTTGAGTTCAGCTTCTACAGGTGAGTCACCACCACCTATACATGATATTTCTAAATAAAGTAGGGAAGATTAGCAGTTGTGAATATGATATATGTGCTTGGCTACTTGAAATTGTATGTCATGTGATATGTGAATTTCAAGTTCTATGTTTGATTTGGGGTTGATTCGTATGGAATCAACAATGAAAGGAAGTGATGATGATAATGAAAGTAATGAAAGACAAGTAATGTTGCAAGGTAGTCGTGCCCCCAAGTAACTACCTGAGCTAAGCGTAGCGGGATCTCCTCTCACGGGGAGTCCCGGGGTTGCTTCTGATGGCTGAGGGCTGAGGGCTAGCTACCCGAGGTCGTCAGCGAGGGGCCAGAACACGAGCTACGGGCCCATAAAGTCAAGGAATAAGATAAGAAGAAAGAATGGTGAATAAGGAAATCTCTTGATGTTTGATACATGAATGCTTATGTGTTGTTATCATGTGTGATTATAGTATATGTGTAGTGTATTCAGCATGGGTATCTATTTATGATTAGCTAAAATTCCCTAAACGTTTTATTGGATGAAATGGTGACTTACTAAACATTATTGCTTACGAGAATTCTATTCTCGTATGTCCTCATGTATAGGTAATAAACGAGATACATAAGCCTGAGAGAATGGAGCAGATGAAGAGGTTTTGGATGGGTTAACGGAGAAGATCGGGCTCTTAGTTTTGTTGTTGTTTTAGTACGCTGGTACTTCAAATGGTTGTTAAACGTTTTAAAATCCCTATTAGGTGTAATGGTTTTAAAGATGTTTTATTTTGGATGTCTTCCGTTATGGTTGTAAGGTTTGATTTTATTCTAAAAGAAATAAAGTCTCATATCGAGGCTTTGTATCTTTATTTCCGCTTGATTTATCGAGTCTCTTTTATGTTTGAGTACCATAATGGCCTTTTTGGGGACGACCGTTACAATTTACACTTACTACGACTTTAAAAATATACCAGCCTCTTCCACCCTAAACACAACCCCACAATGATTAGACTTCATCGCCAACAAAATTCTAATTCCATTACCACCCAAAATATGCTTACATTCTTGAAAAGATTAAAAAACTATGACAATCACACATCTACGTTAAAATATTTTTAGTAAGTTATCAGTTACTATAACAGGATACATGGGAATTTAGCCACATGACCAATAGCTTATCTCGTGAACATTAAATACCAATATGAATAACTCTTAAGTTAGTATACAGCAAATACAAGGTAACTTAACTCAATAATAATCACTTAAACCCAAAAATGCTTACACATAACGTACACCCGAAGCATACACCAATCCTGCCCAGACTAACATACCAAAAAATTTATATCCTTCGAATATAATATACTACGTATATTTCATTCTGGTCACATCACAATTCACAACCACATCCCCAACAGCACGTGTTTGTATCTTCTCAATATCTTATCTTGTACGAAGTAATTGTGAATATTTTAGTTTCTCACAGCAATGTTTTTTTCCGGATAGGAATACTTGAATGTGCATGTATACATTTTTATTCTTGATTGTAATGTGCATATAGAAACACTTCCTACTTCCAAATTCTTTAAAAGGTAATACAATTTATATGTGTATGTTACACCTCCATTTTTAAAAATATAACTTAATTGAAGAAATAGTTATATGGAATATTACTCCGAACATTCAAATTGTAATATGGAAAATCCAATTCAAAATTTAATAATATCATGTCGTATATTTGAACAAGAGTAAAGTTAATTTCCTCAGTTAACTTTTAGGGATCGAACTTATTGGAACAATAAATGATGATAAATGAATTATATGAAACAACTTGTTCATTAAATATAAAGTATTTAATAAATATCCTTATGTTACTTATAATTGGAAAAATGCAATTAACCATTTATATATGCAGTAACACACAAGTGTATATATACTCATGTAGACAACACATTGACGGTCGGGAAATAAAAGTCAAATTGTGGAAATAGAATAGAAATTTATTTAGTTATGGATATTTTGAAGCATCTCACTATTTCCTTAGTGTGCTTGGTTTCAATTCTTTGGCCTTTATTAGTGTCTGCAAGCAATGTATCACCAACACCCATTGGAGATGAGAGTTATAATGCAGACGAGGAATTCTTATCCAAGCAAGGATATATAGACGAGTGCATTGATTATGAAACGTTAGATCTTGTGGGCTCTAGTCATGCTAATGACTTGGATTATATTACAGAGCTTTGCACTGAAAGAGCTAACAAATTGTGTGCAGCATTTAAGGGCAAAATGTATTGTTGATACGACTATAAATAGACCCGCGACCTTCAGGACAATGTAATAAGCATATGTTTACTACACCGGTTAGACAGTTACAAAGCGGTACTTATTAAGACATGTGTTAATAAGCAGTGTATTAAATAAACAATGTTATAAGCGCATGTTTGGAACACATGATTTAAAATACGGATTAACATTAAAATGTCCAAAATATATAATCTTGTACATGTATACACACATATTCATATATACACATGTATATATAATATAATATAATATAATATAATATAATATAATATAATATAATATAATATAATATAATATAATATAATATAATATAATATAATATAATATAATATAATATAATATAATATAATATAATATAATATAATATAATATAATATAATATAATATAATATAATATAATATAATATAATATAATATAATATAATATAATATAATATAATATAATATAATATAATATAATATAATATAATATAACATAACATAACATAACATAACATAACATAATATAATATAATATAATATAATATAACATAACATAACATAACATAACATAACATAACATAATATAATACTTCCTCCGTTCCTTTTTAATTGCAACAGTCAATATTTCACGTTTGCCAACGCACAAGTTTGACCATTAATATCTTTCATTCCGTATTAGTAAAAAATTTGAAAAATTCATATTTTGAAAATTTTGAATGAGAAGAATTTAACAATATTTTTTAAAAATTTAATTTATAATACATCAATTAATAAAATGTAGTCAAAGTAGAATATGTGAATAGTGCAAAAAGTCCAACGTTGCAACTAAAAGAGAACGGAGGTAGTATAACATATGATAATATCACATAATATGATATGACATGACATGACATGACATGACATGATATGATATAACATAACATAACATAATACTATCGTATAACATAACATAATATAATATAACATACGATAATATAACATAATATAATATGATATATGATATGATATCATACGATACGATACGATACGATTGGGTCTCTGCAATCTACCCAATTGCAGATATGTACCCGTCTGTGTTCCAACTGCAAGTTCATTTGGAAAATTTTCAATACATAAATTTCTGTGGCGCTCAAAGGATAACAACAATAGTCAAGGACGATATTCAATCTCGAACCATGCATACAGAATACTTCCAAATGAATGCTCGGGATGAGGTGGCAAAAAAACTTAATCTTTTATATATTCAGTTTCCTGAATACTTTGTTTGGTCTACCACGAATAATGGTGTGGAAGCATGCTTGTGTGAAGCAGTTTTATATCAAATGCTGCAAAGCCTTCGTGAGCTTTTTGGAACCCTTCTTGTTTTCTGTGATATTCCAGCCCCTTCTTATTGAAGATAACTGCGCAGTTATTTTCAAGAATTCATTTGAATGCCTTCTGGGTTGAAGTTTTAGCTGAAATTTGGTATGAGTAAACTAGACTTGATTAATAAGATGCTAAAAAAATTCATCAAAAATTCCAATGGGAACCACCCCAAATGACGACGGCCGGACAGAGTCTCCTAAATAAGGATGACCTTTTTTGGTTAGTACATGGGCCTATTTGCACCTTTTCCCTAAAATAAATTAAAGAAATGGTTTTTTTTAAGATAAAGAAATGTTTTTTAATTAACTGGATTACACTCATATTTTACGCCGTAAAGTTCATTTTAAATGTTTTTAATCACAATTAATCGATGAGGTGTTAAGCCTATGTCATTTATATCTATAATATCCTATATACAGGACAAGGGAAATTGTTTTTTCTAGCCTGTAGCTTTAACTTGTAGCTAAAAATTGGCTGATAAGCCATTTCCAAACAAGGCCTATGGAGTGATTATACTAATACAAAGTAATGAAATTAAAAGTTAGATACCCGAAGTACTTCGGAGTTGCACACGAAGATCTATAAATCGTAAAACCTGAATTAGAGATTAGAAGAGAAATAAGTTGATTAACTAAGGATTAAGGATCAGACAAAAAGCAAAGATAATGACTGAGGGCACCCATGCCATATCCCTCATTTCCAATGAAAGAAAAAAAAAAACACCAGCAATATGTCAAACAGTACTACGTTGAAGTTGTTGTAAGTAAAACTTAATCTGAATGGGGAGTGATGAAAGTGCAATTCCTTGGTATTGCAGAATCCTCAATTACTTGAGTATAACTTCCATCAATAAACCAATCGTTAAGAACTTTTCCATAAGACTGCGAGAAAGAAAAAACAAACAACTTTAGTTCAAGGGGAAGGATAAAGTGCTCAATCAAGCAACAATTAATGCTGAAATTTTTATGCAAGGAAAAGGAATTAAAATACCATATTCCAATAGTATGGTAGATCATGGGCGATGCAACTAGTAATCCGCATTCCCCTTTCGGAAGGACAAGCTTTTGGTAACGTGGAAAGTACGTATTGCCTCAAATATAAATTTTCCACAAAATTAAGCATTATCATATGCGTAAAAATACCAAAGTACGTTGGAAAAAGTGTTAGCCCTATACCAGTCTCAAATTTGTGTTTATGAATTATTATAGTGCAATAGTATTGCAATAATAAATTCTCCTTTATTAATTATTTTCACAGTTACACATTGTTTACTGTTGTTAAAAAACAATGCATATCTTATACATGTGTCTCAAATTTGTGCACTACAAAACACTAGCGAGATTTCACGGATTTAACACGAATATTTGTAAAGTAGGAGTATTTGAGAGCCATAATTAGTCTCGTAATCATGCTTAGGAAGGACCCGTTCATGTAAACTATATGTTTTGAGTCGTGCACTCGTGCCTGAACTCGATTAATCTGAGTCAATTCCGTGTCAAGTTATGTTGATACCAGAGTTTTGGTGTAGAGGTTGTTCTTTAAAAACATAATATGCATGTAGCTTATTGTAGAAATTCCAAAAATGGGTGATGTTTTATGTAACGTTTCTTAATAAGTCTAGATAAATCTGATGCGGGGGGGCAAAACGTTTTACACAATGAAGTCAAATGTGGTGCTTAAAGCTTTATAATAAGTATTTACCTTGGATTGCCTTGAGCCGATCATGAGTGCAATTATTGTGGAAAAGGCAAACCTCATCCGCCCGGAATAGGTTATACCTTATCTGACAAAAACCGATTGAAAAACCATTGACACTATTTAGTACCAGCCAATGGTTGGGATTATCATTATTATTAGAAGATGAGTATTAAAGCCAAGGACATACTTGGATTAGATCGAATGACGACATTGCTATAAAAACAGGTGTTCTTATAGTCGGCAAAAAGTATTGAGGGAAGAAGCACTGAGGGGCAGCCAGATAAAATCGAATTTTATTAGTATATATGTATGAATTGCATCATACGAGTATTATATTGGGCAATATTTATCAATAAACTTTGTCTCAACTCACCAAATCCGGACTCATTCTTGATGTGCACAGGGGAGGCAATGCTTTGGAAGATCCCTAATTAAGAAACCCAAAGCCAACTCCAGTGTTAATAAATTTGAGTGTCTTTAATTAGGTGCGTATAGCATATAATAATGTCAACTTGTAAGGGAAGAGCTCAAATTAAATACGTGTAAACTGATCAACCCCTGGAACGTTGCTTCAAACTGTTTGCTTCCATTAAGATGTGCCCTGTTGAAACATCGACTAGAAGCATGTTTAGGGTGTTTTCTGGATTTACGGGAATTCCTAACATGAAGTGCAAAAACACGGGAGAAAGTCTAGGGTTTCTAATATAGCGGGATTTGGAAGTCTCATTTCCGAATGAACTGAGGTTTGTGCAGGAATTTCAGAAAAGGCTATTCGGAAGTCTCTTTTCCGAACACAAATTTTTCAAAATGCCCTTTTTATGTTTTAACCAATTCCAATCGGAAAACCCAATTCCAAATGCCCCGTTGTTTAAGCAATTCGAATCGGAATCACACATTCCAAATGGGTTTTTCTATTTAATTTTTTATCCCAACCATATTCCATTGGTTTTTAAATAAATTTATTAAATGAAATTGAATTGTTTTTATAAAAACGTAATTCTTTAAAAAATGGGAAAATGATTAGATTTGAAAAAATGACATGTATATTAATAATAGAGTTTCTCCAGACAAAAATATGACTACTTATTTTTTTGGACAACAATATGACTAATCACTATGTATGAGTACCTAGATAAGAGTCACTATACTGTATTTCTGAGTGACAAGTCACTCATAGATGATGAAACACTGAGAACTAATCACTGAATATCTCAAGGTTTTTGAAATTTTCAAATGAAGTCATATTATTGTCTTTTGAATTTAATTTTTTTGTTTCAATTGAGATAAACATTCAAGTACGAAACTATGAATATCGATCGTGAATAAAAAAAATTCAATCATTCTTGGTGTACACAAAATGTGTACACTTTTTGTATATTCGTCTTGTATATAGACAATAGATGTCTTTTTTCTAAACAAGCTACATGTGTGATGGAGTTTAATCCAACTACAAGAGCTATATCTACGAAAGAGATGAAATATGGGCAACGTAAGACAGTGTTTATAAATTTCAGCCAATGTAGTCACTTCACCCAGAACTTCATGAATTTCAGCAGAATCAGCCAAAACAGCCGATTTTGGTGCTACCAAACGGACTCCTACTGCGTTTTTCATTTATTAAAGATACTAATGGAATTGTGCGTTTCCAAATGAGATTATATTTTTAATACTATACCAACATTTTTAATACAATAATCTATTTTATTTTTTAATGTACCACGAACCGAAGTGGATTTTTCAAATAATGTACTTATATTTATATTTTTAAAAAAGATCACGTAATTTTATTTTCTATAAGAGATAATTGGGTGGTTAATTAAATCAGATAAATTTTATCTCATTATATTTTATTTGATAAAATTTTATGCGATTTACAAATTGTAAAAGCAAAAAATACATTATTAACTTAGCGAGTCCGGGTCTGAAACACTACATTTCGGCCCAGACCCGACCCATTGACAGGCTTAGCAGGTGCAATAAAAACTATTTAGTGTAAATATTAAAAGTACTGATATGGTATGGTATGGTCTGATATGATCGCGATTAAAAACGATCCATGTAAAAATATCCTAACTCACTAAATAATTTACTCTAAATTACTCTAACTCCTTAAGTATATTACTCTAATAAAGAAAAAAGTAAATTACTCTAAACAACTCTAACTCAAGTTCATTAATTACTCTAAACAAATTATTGTACGAAATAACTTATTACGGAGTATCATTAATAAAGTTGCTTTTTAGCCATTCGGTTCTTAGACTTTCGAATTAATGAAAGTTACTTTTTAAAAAAATAAAATCAGTCACTCCATTCGGAATTCGTTCCGAATTAAAGTGCTTCATTTCCGAATCCCGTGTTGTTGTAACCTAGTACGAACTCCCGTGTTTTTGCATGGGTTGTTCGAAACTCCCGTTGTTTCGTCATTTCCTCGCATGTTTATATTGTTTCAAGTCGCCTTTAATATTGCATAATGTATGTTCAAAGTTATACTCCGTATTTCATTTACTTCAAACTCACTTTAACACACACATATGACATATCATTATTACAAAAAATGGAATGACACGGATTTGACAAGAATTTACAAGTTATATATTTTGTGTCAAATGGTTCGTGTCAAAGTGTTTTTGACACGAATTTAACATATTTCTGCCAAACCCTATATGTATTTTGGTGATCTATGTGTAATTTAAATTACTAATTAATTGAAGTGAACTTACTCATGCACAAAGTAAGATGCAATTGCGAGGCACTTGACTCGTGCAGTAATTGGAAGAAGATCCCGAAACCGGTCACAATGAATCATAGCTGCCAATCCCCCTGCCGAACCTCCGCTAAGAATCGCCTATAATTAATTCCATTGTTACAATATTAATTACCATATCACATACTACGTAGTATTACGTAAGCTCTTTAATTTTTAGGTCTAAAGTTAATACACTACTCGTATCTTTTTGCTTTTCCTTTGATAGCATACATATATACGGAGTACGTAGTATTAGACATGAACTGTTTTAGAAATAACCAACCACTTTTGTACTTTTCAATAAATGAAAAACATACTCCGTATATGATAAATAAATAAAAAAATGACAAACATATCCACTCTACTGTTTAATAAAGTTAAAGTTGAGTTTGACTTTCAAAATTATGCCAAAATATAGTCTAGATATTATTACTACTTCCCGTTTTATTTAATCCTCACACTTTGACTTCATACAAAATAAGGAAAGAAATTTGACTTTATTGTAGAGTACACCGTTGAGGCACTGTTTGACACTGTTTGGCACTGTAGAAATACTGTTTGGCACTGTTTGACACTGTTTTGATGTAGATTTCTTTGCCAAAAAAAGAAATAAAGAAGTGAGAAGTTTATTTTAGACCGTCCCAAAAAGGAAAGTGTGAAATTTATTAAAAACAGGAGGGAGTATTAATTTATTATTAGCAGCCTTCAGTTATACTACATACAAATTAAATACGGAGTAATACGTACGGAGCAATATCTTACATTTTGAGCATGCTTCATTCCTTTAGACAGGAGATCATCCATTGTGGCCTCAAAGATTCTGAAACCTCTGTAGGTTACATTAGTAACCTTATAAAAGAGTACATAAAATGTTAGAAGCTTCAAGTGATTAAAATTAAATTAATAAGCCCTAGGCCCTAGCTATATGAGTATACGTTTACGGTGAGAATTTCTGAATGAAACAGTCGAGTACTTACCGGATCAACAGCTTCTTTGTTTCCCGTAAACGAAGATCCGTCACAATATGGAACAAACATCCTGTTCCAGTTGTAGAACTCTAAACATGCATACACAATATGCATATCCAGTAATGAAGTTAGAAGGACGGTTTAAATTTTTGGCATGTAACATGCATTATGGTCACTAATAGTCATGGACCCGGTTCGGGCCGCCCGGCCTGGGACCGGCCCGGTTCTCGGGTCCGGGTCAGGCCTAGGCCCGGTGGGGGGCGGGTCCGGGCTCGGGCCTTGTATTTGGCGAACCGGCCCGGCCGGGTCGGGCCGGGTCCAGGCCTAATTGAATTGTTTTTTCATTTTTGGGGTTCCACCCGGGTTGGGCTTGATGGTTAGGAGGGGTTTGAGGGTTTTGGGGGGGGTGAGGGGGGGTTAGGAAAGCAAACCGGAGGCCCGGCCCGGACCCGGACCCGGTGGCTACCCGGGCCGGTCCCGGGCCTTCCTTCCCAAAAAAAAAAGCCCGGCCGGACCCGGTTTGGGCCGCCCGGCCCGGAACCTTAATTATAAGGCTTAGAGCATCTCCAATGGTAAAACGTTAACGGTGCATACGTGGCATGAAAAATAATCAATTAAAAAACAATAAATACAATTTCTCTCTCCTTATTTGAAGGATCTTAAACCATTTTGGTAAGTTCTTCTCTGCAATGTCAAGCACAATGTCTAGATGTAGACATTGTGATTGACATTGCAGACAAAAACTTACCATAAACACATAAGACCGTGGAAAGAAGAAGAGAGATATTGTATTTATTGTTTTTTAATTGGTTATTTCTCATGCCACGTATGCGCCATTAACGTTTTAGCATTGGAGATGCTCTTAGTGACTCACTAAGCCTTATATATGGTCTCATTATTCTCAAATTCGATCAATTAATTAAGGAAAATTTATAATTATCGATCTTCAAAATAAAAGCATTTTAGGTTGTACTCGGTATTGTGTAATTATACGAACCACACTTTAATATCTTTGTTATCGATAGATAGTTGACATTCATGTTATTTCCGTATTTATAATTGTGTTTTTGATTAGTTTTGAGTGATTATTACTCTAGAAATTACACACTTTTGGTGTAAAAGTTTAGTTTGTAAAATAGTTTTAAATTGTTTAGATTAGGTTGATTCTGAGCTCAAACAGGTCCAAGACCACTCTAGGGACCATTGGTGAACACCACAATTGGAAGGAAAGTGCAAAGATTTCAAGAAAAGATGAAGATTCTGATTTTTGGTAGTGTACCCGGTCGAGTATGCCCTATACTCGATCGGGTAAGTTGCTGAAAAGTCAAATCGGATAAATCCGGGAACAAGGCAACATGCAGGAGGATTTTCTAACTCGATCGCGTATCCATACCCGATCGGGTAGCCGACATACCCGATCGGGTATGACCCCAGAATTTCAGTTTCGAGGAAACTAACCCTTACCCGATCGGTTGAGCTAAAAACTCGATCGGGTACACGACCCTGCAGGCCTAAAAAGCCTATAAATACACCCCATTTCCTCCACAAGAAGGACACCAATTCCTATATACTTCTAAGCTCAGTTTAGTCAAGTCCTTTCTTTATATTTTTATCATGTTTAGTCTCCAAATGAGGAGCTAAACTCTTCCCTCTTGGTTTTGCTACTTTGAAGCTTAATGATTTGTAAGTTGTGAGTTATTTTCTTTAATCTTCTTCCTTGAATATTAATTACTTCCTATTCATATCCCATATTAATATATTGAGCATTACTTAAAGTATCAACTAGTCTTGCCCTATATATTAATTATTACTAGAATCAATCGGTTAATACGCTTGTTATTAATTCGGTTCTTTCAATGGTAGTAAACTTGGATTGCTAATGCATGCTTCTCATGGTTAATAATCTCAGGGGAGTTATTTATATTGATTAAACCAATAAACCGCTTGTGTTGAGGTTATCAATCTCAATCGTTTTCATCTTAAGTTTATTGCTACTATCAATTTAATATACGGCGCTTGTCCTATATTGACTCGATAGTAAGTTTTATTAATGAACGCATCTCGTTATTAATAACTACCCTCGATGAACTGGATATACTCCTCGATTGAGTATTCGAGAGGAAGATAGTTAAAGATATAACCGGGATCGACGAACATTTCATTAAGTGGATAAAAGCAAAGCCAAGTCTTCTTCTCATTAATTAAACCACATAACTCGTTCATCTTCGTGTTCAATTTTAATTAAATCATTCAATCAAAACCCCCCTTTTTATTTACTGGTTTATAAAAAAAAGAGAAGTATTCCTTTCCCTGCGGATACGAACCTTACTTCAATATACTACGTATATTAGTTGTATTGTATTTATTTTGAGCGCACCTCACGACAAAGTGCACGTCAATAGTGCTATATACGGAATATGTTTTGAGAATCAGATCCAAACACCCCATACACTCCGTACATGTATACTACACTATACTACGTATAAATTAATAAACTGGGAGAGTCTGCTTGCATGCAAACAATTTTTTGTAAAGGAACAACATAATTAAATAAATAAAAATGAAAAAGTAAAGTTTTATTACCAGGATTACTGGTGGAATTGCTGTTAAAAAAAGGAGTATCGAAGGCGAAAGTTTTGTTGAAATGAGTAGAAGTTCCGAGACCTGAAGTGGTGCGATTTTTGCAGTCCGTGTGATTAGAGCACCAGCCTCCTCCCTTAAATGGAGTTAGACATTAATTAATGAATTAATTAGTCGTGGGCAATTCAAACGTATAATATTTCAAATGCAAATAAAAAATAGTACAATTAATTATATCACTGACTTAGTTATAACTTATAACACACCGCTCAAATCACAATCTTATTATATCCGGCAAATTCCCTGACATAGGGAGTTTGGGCTTTGAAGATTAACCGTGAGAAGAAGGAATTGAAGGAGATGATAAATGAAAAAAAATCCTTACTTTTGTTTGCAAAAGAAATTTCTAAAAAGAATGATTACGAAAATTATAATTAAATTAAAATCGCTTATTGTATTCAAATATTTGAATTAGTTTTCATTTTAGATCGAGTTAAAGAGTTTTTACCCTTAAGTAGGACCAAATTATAATCAGAATTTCTAAATGAGAGTTAATGTTTTAATTTACCTAAATAGGACTCATTATTCCGGATCTACCCCTGCAGTAATAAAACCCCCGATCTATCCCTCTTCCCTATCTGCTTACTCCTTCATCGGCATCTTCTTTTTCGCATCAGCAAGCTCCTGTGCCATGGAGTACGGAGACTCGATCTCTTCCACGCACCACGCCGGCCAGCATCTCTACAGGTTATCCCCTCCTCCTTTTTCTCTTTCTCTTCGGTCTTCTTCTCCTCCTCTTCTTCATTCTCCTTCTTCCTCCTCTATTCTTTACTCAATTTGCATTATTAATATTTTCTATTAATTTTTTTGAATAATTTTTCGATTCTTAATAGAAATTTTATTTTTGGTTGGAAAATATTTGGGTATGAAATTTCAGATCTTGTTCAAAACATTCAGTAAGAAATACTCCGTATTCAGTATGAATTCAAAACATTTGGGTATCAAATTTTGAGGCTCTTGTTCAAAAAATTCATATTAAAATTTCAGTATTCTGCATCTTTATCAGCTCGTAAGAAATGCCACATTTATGGCATTTTTTTATGGAGATGGAAATACTGCATCTTTGAAAATGCCAAATTTTTGGCATTTTTACAAATTGTGGCATTTTTATGGCATTGAATTGAACTTGTGGCCAACATTGTGTCTTCTTTTTCTTATCCTATTTCACATGTTAGACTCTAAAATGTGAAAATGTTATAATTTGTAATCTGAAAATTCCATGTTTTTGCATGTAGAAATGTCATTTTTTTGTCATTATTGTTCTAAAAATGGCAGTTTTGCCTGAAATTGAAACAATGCACTCCTTAGGTAGTAGCTGTGACTAAGAAGATGCCAACATCTCCAGAGAAGAATTTAGATGTGGCTCCATTCCCCTTGTAGGAAAGGGTAAGTCGCATCACCTAAGATGTGCAGCAGCAATCTCGGCGGCGACTGGTGCGGCGGTCACACCTGGCTGCGGTGACGGTCTGGACAGCGGCGGCCGTGCGCTAGTGGGGAAGGGTGTGACGGTCTGGACAGAGACGTGACTGAAGGTGTTGAGGTCTCCGTCGTTTGGGTTCAAGCGATGCGCATCGTGAATGAGCCAACTGGGGAAGGGTTTTGTTTTTTTAATTGTAATTTCATTAAGGGTGATATTGTCTAATCAGTTGATTTTTGGTCCTATAAAATATGAGAGTCCTATTTGTGCATTTCAACATTGATTTTGTCCCATTTAGGGAATTACCTCCGAGTTAAAATTATCATTTAATTTGTTGTCATTCAAAACCCCGTAAATCAGAATACTTAAAATTGAACGTTGAAGGATTTTAATTAGATGGTTACATAAATCCTTTAAAATATTCCCTTCAAATTTTTTAATTTCCCAAATAAGAAAAAAACGATCATAAACCCTAAGAGCATCTCCAATGCTATAATGTGCACGGTGCACATGTGGCATGCGTCATAGCCACAAAAATATTAACAAATAAATAATCTCTCTCCTTATTTGAATAATTTTACACCATTTTGGTAAGTTTTTCCCTGCAATGTCAACAACAATGTCAACATCTAGACGGTCTCCTTGACATTGTGGAGAAAAACTTACCAAAAGTATATAAAATCATTCAAATAAGAAGAGAAAGAATTTATTTACTAATATTTATGTGGTTATATTTCATGCCACGTGTGCACCGTGCACAATTTACCATTGGAGATGCTCTAATCAACTCTCCGCTTTACTGCAAAACATACCTTCAGGGATGTACGGAGCACTAAAATATAATCCAACTTTCATGCACATATATATGTTTCATCATCATTTAATTAATATAAGAATTTATTTGAAAGACTTACTTGAAGGTAAATAACCCAATTGTGACGCCCATCGCCTACCCCTTTGTCATGGTAGTATGCAGCCGGACTACCATCCAAACAAACTGCAAAATATCCGTCGATCAGTACGTATCGAAGTAAGCAATGAACCTTAATTTCTAGCTATCTGAAGGCCCGTGTAACTGTAAAATATTTTTTGAGGGAGTACATACTAACTGATCATAAACATTTACTACGTACGTAATAAATAAATAAATAAATACTTCGTATTAAATGAAAAACAGTTGCTCGGAACGAACCAGCCCCTTTTTCCAATGCCCCTTTGACGTATTTCAAATGAACGGATCGAGAGTCCGCAAGAGTAGTACAGTTAACAGCGATGATAAACACCAGCACAAAACTGGGAAGTAGAACTCTCGCCATGTTGAATATTGAAGCAAGCCTAGTTAGGTTGAGCAGAAAACAAATGCCTTAGATAAAATGTGATGGAAGTGATGATGATGGCCGTCCCAGGCTCACAGCTAGCTATATAAAACTTGACTCATTTAATGAAAAGCATCGATCGTCATTTACTATCCTTTCCATAACGATGCATGCACTACATACATCTTTATTGAACTAATTTGGAGAATCGAAGAATAGCAGCAAACGGAATGGGACTTGCATTTACCATTCTCAGCCAGGTAGGTACAGCCATGTGCGTATGCACTATATATGGCGACAAGACATGATGATCGAGAGGAAGTACACTACGTCATACCAAGCAGTTGAACACAAAGTTCATTCTTATTGTAGCCGGCCCCAATTTTTTTTAGCCTCTGTTCAAAAATCGAATGCTCAAAGGGTAATTCCTCAACTAGGAGTAAAACTCATTAGTGCGTGCAACGCTATTATTAATCTGTTTTTTTGTTTTTTACTCCTATGAAAGCTGCATACGAAACATTAGTTATACAGTGAGCATTTTAATAATTTAAGTAATTTAAATTAGTTGTACAGCCGGTGGCATTTTAATAATTTAACTAAAATTCGCGACTTCCGTGAAATGAGTATTAATGCACTTTTAGTGAGCATCAAAGTTATTATATTGAGTATTAGGAGCCTAACAATGAGAAACGTGATTTCTGCTTCATATCTTTTATTTCACTTTCTTTTTCTTATTTTTTCTTTAATAAAAACTTATTAAATTATATCTACACTCAACTCTTATTAATTTTTGTATGCAAATCTAATATAATATGATAGTTTTGAAATATGCATTAATATACTAATTTCAAAATGAGCATAACGTCAATACCAAATGAGCATACGTAACTTACAAAATGAGTATTACACCAATATAAAATGAGCATACATACTTACAAAATGAGTATCAAAAAATTCAAAAAGCTCATTTAAAATCTCTAGTATGCTCAAATATTAAATGAGAATGCATAACCTAGGAAATGAGTATTACACCAATATATATGCATGAATATGACATTTTAAAATGTATGGTCTAATGCACATTTTAAAATGAGTATTATAACGCCAATTTTCCTTATTCCAGACCAACCAATTCCTTATATTAAATGCACATTTAATTTAAATATTATACTCATAATTAATTATTTAGAATGACCATAATACATGTACAAAATGAGCATACATTACTTACCATATGAAAATATTATATGGTACTTTTGAAATATGCAATAATATATCATTTTAAAATGAGTATAAAACCAGTAACATATGAGCATACGTAAGTTACAAAATGAGCATTAAAAAATTCAAAAGCTCATTTGAATTCTCTAATGTGTTCAAACAATCAATTAGGTATGCTCATTTTTTAATCGTTATACTCATTTAAATATAACATAAACTCCATTTTATAATATGTACATCAAGTAGATCAGTTATATATTAACAATTTAATAAACTATCATTATATGTATCAATGAAAAATATAAAAAAATGTTGTATTAAAAATACTTTATAGTCTTTTGTTCTTGAATTACAAATACATGTGTATTACAGAGTAGTTTTTATAATATTTTCTCATGCACATTTATTTTAAACTATACTCATTTTAGTACAACACAAAAATCATGTTAGTAATTAACATACAATAATGTAATAAACTAATAAATATTCATTGTAAAATTAAAAATAGAAAAAACAAACATTAATACTTAAAATATTTTATAATGCACAAACTAAAAAAACTTAAGTTAAAACCTTGATTGGAAAAGGAAAAAGCTCAATCATTAAATAATACTCGTATATATATAATACATTTTCATAATAAGTGAATAAAAATTTTTATGTACAAGATTGTCAAAGAGAAGAATAAAGAAACAAAAAGCAACAAGTAAATAAGGAAAGAGAAAGAAGCAACGAACCAACAGCGAATTGAAGGAGAAGCCAAAGCAACGAGAAAAGAAAAGAAAAAAGAGAAAAGAAAAGAAAGTAAAGCACCGAGCAAGCAGTTGAAGGAACAATCGCGTTGAAGTTGGAACAAATTACAAAATTGTAATTTGTAATTTTACCATTCCGGTTTAGTATAGCCGGTTGCACCGTATATTTTACCCGCTCACGTGTTTGGGAGGATGGAATCCCTTATATATTTCATTATGTAGGCACAGGTTCAACTCTAATTTGTCAAGATAGGATATAATTTTTGTTTGATCTCCCGGATTTCCGGGTTTCACCCGCTCTGGGTCTGATCTAGGCAGACATAAGGGTCATCATCGGGTTTTAAAGGGTTATGCCATATTAGTGGTTTAGTAGGTAGCCGGACCGAATTAGATGTTGGGTCGCCCGATTCTGGATTGACTCGCCTAATCTAGTTCGATTATTACAACTAGGGGAGAGCAAACCCGACCCTACCCGATTGACCCGACTGGATATATCCGATTATTATTTTTGGGTCGGATAACCCGACCCGAATCACACAAACCCGACCCGATTTTTGTAACCCGAGAGTTAAGCGAGTAGCGGGTAGGGTTACCAATTATGCTACCCGACCCGCCCGAAAACCCGAACTAGCGTAGTATATATACTACTTTGAATTATTATGCATGTTCAAATATCTCAATTATTGTATGTCAATTACCATATTATGCATATTCAAATATTCCAATTACCGTATTTGTAAAACTATAACTTTGAATGTTGTATTGTTATGACTTTGAATAATATTTTGACCAATTATCATTTTATTTATCACAATATCAAATATGTCAATCACCGTATATTATTATTTTACATGTTCAAATATGTCGATTACGGTATTTATACAACTATTACTTTGAATGTTATACTAGAATAACTTTGAATGATATTTTTACCAATTACCATTTTATTTATCACAATTTTAACAATAATAAATTAAAATCCGAATGAACCCGAAAACCGAATCAACCCGACCGAAACCCGAACTTCTTCAACCCGAAAAAACCCGATATTTTTTTTTGATAGGGTAGGGTTTGAAATTATTAATCCGATACCCGAACGGGTTTACCATTTTTGAACCCGACCCGCCCGAACCCGACCCGTGCTCTCCCCTAATTACAACATACTATATTTGGTAACATTTGCGTAACTCTAAATCATTGTCCCATTTTTCATTTTTTGATGTCCCTTTATTATTGTCTCATACCATATTTGGTAACATTTGTGTAGCTCTAATTCATTATTACTTTATTCTCATTTTATCAACTCATTATCAACCACATAATTTTTTTTTTTAAACCACACTACTTTCTTCCGACCCAATATTAGGGGGAGGTCTTATCAAATAGACCACTCTCAATTGGAAATAGGGGGAATTTATTAAATACGTCGTATACTAGTATGTATTGCGGAGTATGTCATTGTATATGCATGTTAGTCTTTCAACATAGGGAATATAATGTTTGCTATAGATTAAAAAAACACTTATCAACTTTTGGTTTAAAAAAATAGAAAGGAGTATTTTCGAATGCGAACTTCTACTTAAATTAAGCACTTAAAAGTCAAAAATTGGAAGCTAGTATATGGGTGCTTTTAAATGCTTTTCGGTTTTTTTTTGTAAAATAATTTGTTGATAAATTAAGAAATTTGTGCTTTTTAGTCTCTAAAAATGTTAATATACATCCTAAAAAGTTTATATATATTTAAAAACTATGTTTCATTGTAGGAATATGAAAATAAATTATATAGAAATAGAATACTTATAGATCAAACGATATTTTAAGTTAAAATAAGATCGAAAAAATAAGTTGAGTTGGGAAAAGTTTTATTCAGGACAGACATATGACAAGCGTATCTAAGGCTGTCCGCAACCGGTGGGGTGAAAGCCCCAAATTTGAGCTATTCACCCCAATTAAGCTTCAACCCAAACAAAATTATGTATAAGAGGGAGCCACAGGGAGTATGGAAAACCCATGGGAGGGATAGCTATGCCCCATATCGACTCTTGCCAACAAAAGAGAGAGCATCGAAGGCAGCGCATGTTGCATCAAGGGAGAGCAGCAGGATGTGGGACCAAAGATAAAACAAAACACTTTTTTTATTTAAATGGTTATAACTTTTTTGTTTATAATCCAAATTTTATAAAAAACATATCAAATTTCATAACTTTTTATGATCTTTCAAATGACATCAATATTGCATATATAAAGTTTAAAAAATAATAATTGAAGTTTTAATTAAAAACATATTGAGTGAACATATTGACGGGGTTGGGTTGCAGGGAAAAACTGGATTGACTTCGTGAATACGTATAAACTGGTAGAAAATTAGATTTATTGACGGGTTGGGTTGCGGTTAGCCTAAGCCCCTTCAACGAGATCACCTTGCTCAAAAACAAATCCAAATACATAGGAAAGAAATCAAAAGGAAAAATTTAAAGTGCCACACGAATGATCGGCGGATGTCAAAACCTTACATATTAGGGCATCCTCATTGTTAGGATTATTGAGAGATCAAATTAGTGACGTGACAGATTTTTTAGAGAAGTATCATTGGGAGACATTAATTATTTAATGAGATTATTTGCTAGAATAATCTGGGATCAAAATATGAATCCGGATTATCTTAAGATTATTTGAAAAGTATGTGTAATACGTTAATGTCGGACGGAGAAAAAAGCGGATTATTTGAAGATGATGGTTGGGAGGCATAAATGGATTTTGAGATTATTTAAAAATTAATTATGTAAGAATATTTAAAAGGCAAGAATGCTAGAAAATATGATTTTTACGGGATTAGGAATGGTGATGCTCTTAGAGAAGAGGGGGAAGCGACCGCTTATTAGATGAGATTTAAAGCATAAGTATGCAAAAGTTCCCAAAATAAGACTAAAAAGGTTTGAAAATTCCAAAACAGGACTGTCATGTTTTTTATTCCCAAAATAGGAGTAATTACTGTCAAGTCTGGAAAATACTGCCATGTTTGAAGTCTGGTACTGCCAAAACATGGCAGTAATTAGTCTTATTTTGGGAATAAAAACATGACAGTCCTATTTTTGAATTTTCGAACCTTTTTAGTCCTGTTTCGGGTAATATCTCCATAAGTATTGACTTTTAACCAATTAGTGGTATTAA